GTTTAATGCCTCACTCATTACATGTGTTATTTCTGTGCCCCAGGACATCCTTGGTGTAAATTAATTTTGAATTAGAAATTGAACATTAAAAATTTGATTTATATTCAGGTTATGAATTGTTAATAATGCTCGAATAGTATCCTTATTTGGGGTAGGCACAATATGAGCATAATCACACATTCAATCTGCAAAAATTCAGTTAATAGTCAAAAATATTATTGTTGGTGACATGATTATGTATTGCTCTCGCACAAACACCTTGTTTCAAATAGCATTTCCCAGGGGTGTTGCACAGCAAATCATTGCAGGATCCTGGACAGAGAAGACTGCTCTGGATTTTGAGGTGTTTGCAATGTCACTATCGTATTGTCACAATTGGCTATTATGCTCTTACTAACTTTTCTTCATACAGGGGCTTCCGAAGCAGACCCATGGGAATGACTGTGGTGTCTTCATGTTAATGGTGAGTAAGGATAAGGCCGTGATATGGCACAATTGATTGCTCCTTAACACCTTTCATTTGTAAATACATGCAATAGTGATTCACCACCACTTAGACCTGACAAACGTTCTGTTTGAATCCCAATGTTCTCTCACATTATGCACTTGCAAATAAACAGGTGTGCAATAATAAAAGGATTTAAGGAATGTTCACATATCACCTCCACATTTTATTGGAGGTGTGTGACTACTTTCTCACTGAGTTATAAGCCGTCACGTGTACATTATGTCTTGCATGTGCTAATACAATTCTCATTACAGTATGCCTGGTATTTTGCCATGGAGGCCAGCTTTGACTTCAGCATTGTAAGTATTAAGGAAAGAAGTCACATTAAAATTCTATAACAAACTTAATGAAAATTGATGCTCTTTCTTTAGCATGACATGTCTCTCCTGAGAAGGTGGTGGTGTGTTATCCTGGTGGAAAACTTTGGACTGGAAGGGTATGCTGCAGTGCTACAAAAACATTTGAATTTGTAATTGTATTATCAAGAAGATTTGGGGGTGAACACCTGGCTCTAAAATTCAACCTTCTGGTGAAGAAAATGTGTCTTAATTGCAGGTATGGAAAGAGGTTTGCTCACTATAGTGAGGAAGGCAGGGCGACCCTTAGCGACAATGTCCCACCTACATTCAGGATCAGTCGTAAAAGGACGCATGCAAGCAGCAGTCAGTGCGGTCAGTGTATCGCTCAACGTATCTATGACCCTGTGTGCCTGTTTCAGAATGGGTTACTACTCCTAAAACACATACTACATAGAACTTATGGTACATGCAACATTTGTTTTGTGTGGTACTGTGTCATTCTGAATCGAGCCTGGATCATTTTTGGAGGAGTTAAACCGTGCATGTAAAGCACTGTCAAAATAATGGTTGACTGTCTACAGATGCCCCTGGACACTGATGAGGACCACTCCTATAACAAGAGGCCTTACAGCTTCCTTCCTAAAGAGTCGGTTAGTGAATGGACACATTAAAGTGTACAACCCCTGATGCATGTGATTTTATAATATTACATATGACTTCTTTATACCATCTTGTCTTATCAGTAAGATGGAACTTTGTTCTCATGACCTCGCCAAGAACATGAGTGAGGAAGCGCACCAAAGGCTGAAGGACTTGTGAAAGATTCCGAGGAGTTTATTATTTATTCAATATTTTTTTAAGTTGACCAGCTCTGATTTTCCATTTGATGTTCTGTTCAATAAATGTTCATTGAGGAAAACGGTATCAGTGTCATATTTTATATACATCACAGTGAATGCTGAACTTGCCTGACCATATACTGCAGTTGAAAGTACACGATGAAACACTGGCTCAATCAATACAATTCCCACATGCTCTACCCCCGGAACCTGCGGTCTTCAGACTCTGGCCCCCCGCACCAACCTGCGATCCTTCGGGGACAGAGCCTTCAGTATGGCAGCCCCCACTCTCTGGAACGCTCTCCCTGAGGAGATCTGCAACATCCCCACGCTTGATGCCTTCAAAAGGGCCCTCAAGTCCCATCTGTCTGCCAAGGCCTTTGGCCCCAAATCTATTTGTTGTTTTGTCTGACTGCCTTTTGTTATGTTTGTTTCTACTCCTGTTCTTCTTTTTAAAGGGACCTTGGGTCTCATGAAAGGCGCTATATATATCCTATTATTAATACATCATTGGGAAGCATTTTTACAATATTCTGGCTTTCACTGTTCAAATGAGATGTCAACCATCAAAATGGGATAAGGGGTTCCAAGGGGTTCTCAAACGGATAGGTTATTAATTTATTTGCCTAATAGTTGCTTAAAACGGATAGGTTATTAATTTAGTTGCTTAAAATGCCTAATAGTTGCTTAAAATGCCTAATAGTTGCTTAAAACGGATAGGTTATTAATTTATTTGCCTAATAGTGGCTTAAAACGCCTAATAGTTGCTTAAAACGGATAGGTTATTAATTTAGTTGCTTAAAATGCTACAATAACATGCCATGTACGGTCTCCACCGTAGGCGGCGTAGTTGTCGTCAATTCGCTTTTCATCTGCCATGCCTCTCAGCCACCGTAGTGTCAGGTGGGCGTGTCGTGTACCATCGTGTACCGCCGTGTACTGGCCGCGGCCGCAGCTAGACCATATTGCTTGAGACCGGTGTCAGTACCAGATATGTTCGGGCTACGAACATATCTGGTACTGACACCGGTCTCTACCTGACCGGAGTCACACTGTGTGTGTCCGTCAGGAAACAAGCTGTTAAAAAGTAGTTCCAGCCAACATCCACTGATAAACTGCGATGTTAAGGACTAAAAAACGATCAATTTTTCACTTTGTTGTTAGCAAATCATTTGGCGCTCTAGCTAACAGGAAGTCACTCAAGTGTCACAAAGTAATTTAGCCTATGGGTAGGTCAAATCGAATGGGTGCTGGCCATTGGCCTAATCATATCACCTGTGTTGGCTTTATGTTTTTGGTCAAAAATGTGTTTGTTTCACATCTGCATTGATGTAATCAATAATATTTCTAATTTAATTAAAAATAATAATTTTCGAAATAAAAAAAAACCCCACATATTTATTGGGGGTGCTTCAGCACCCCCTAGCTCCCCCCTGGTGCCGCCCCTGCATAAGTGGCGCAAGTTGCGCAACTGATGCGGTATTGCGCTAAACGGAAATTATTTTGAACGGACACTTTGACCGGAGAGATTTAGATTTGCCGGTCTTCAGCATATTTGACCGGTCGTAGTCCGGTAATTACCGGCTAACGGGAACTCTGGTTTGTAGATCCCTTTATTACATTTATCCTCGCCATCCATAGTCTCTAAATAATTTATTTCACGTATATGATATTTAGGCTCGCTGGTCTCATCATACAACGGCAATGAAAAAAGGACCAGGGGAGGCAGCCATAACCTCTGCCGCACTGAAGGGGGCGCAAGTGAGCCCACATGTTCTTGTTGCTACTGTTATTCTACGCAGAGACCGTAGACGCAAACAACAAACTAGACTTTTGAAACTAGAGGAAGATAAGGAGGACTTTTACAAAAAAGTAATAGAGATAGCATGGACTTCATCTTCAAGTCAAGGTAAGACCCCAATTGTAATGAAAATGGGATCTTACTAAGAAAGAACAATCCAATATTTAGATTTTTTCACACACAGTGACGTCACGAGCTACCCACAATGCAACACGCGCCATATATATATATATATATATATAAATACGCCATTTTCATGGAGGTGCAAATATCCTGGAAGTGCAAATACAGCTAGCTAACGTAGCAAGGCAGAGCGCACTAGGTTTTTTTTCTGAATTAACGACCGAAGAAATCGCTGCATGTCTTCGGATTACATCTCTGGACTTGAGGGGTGTGCTCTAGGTCGTTACCAGCGTAAACTAGAGCTGTGTGGGTTGTCGGATTGCCCTTACTGCGTCGATTTTGGCTGCATCTACGTCTAATTTCTGGAAACACCAGGTGAATACCCCACTTGTCACAATAATATTATCATGCCATTGCATATATGTGGTATTTTAGAGTTGACTAGATATTGATTAAGGCAATAGACTATGATATTCAGTACAGGAAGCTTAGCAACACCTAGACGGTGTACGGCTAAACCCTTGGCCTGCTTGCACCTCGCGTAAAACGGCGGATACCGGAAGTACGGTGTCGCCCTCGGCCCAATACCCGTATGTGTGTGTGAAAGAATCCTTTTGTTGAACAGTCTGTTTAAAATGAATCGAAGCATCAGACTAAAAAAGCTTTTGAAAATAACTGAATATTTCAATAAAGGTCAAAATATAATATTTGTAAATCTGACTCTGAAAGAGTCAGTGCCTCACCAGAAACCTCACCGCACGTCACTGGTAGAGACACCCTGTTCTCCTCACAGTTCAATAAAAGAAACCTACACAATACTGGCCCAACGTTAACGACACGTTCTTGATACATCTTTTCTGACATGATTATTTATATTATTTTGTGGGGGATTTGGTTGTAAGATTAAGACTCCTGAGGAAATAAATATCTAAAAGCACCAGTACACATATTTAGCACTAACAGACTGGATTTTAGTCACTTAGGTCTGTTAAGTTTTCATGGTCCGGAGGTTTTAGGCAGTGAATTTAAAGCAGAAGGCAGTGGGGTCGCCCTGAGACACTAACAAATTACAGAAAGTCTGAGTACACAATGTGTTTAGGTGTGTTGGTACTATAATATACAGCATAAATGAAGATACATAATAATCAGACAACACAAAATGGGTTCAATCAGGGGTGCGTTAAGTCTCTGCTGGTGCTGCCTATACTAATATTGCACTAACATCTCTCCTAGTGGATTATATGAATTAAAAAATATGTTTTTTTATGTAAAGCTCTGATAAGACACGCTAAATAAAAATGATTTAAACACAGCTAAGTGGCAAGCTACAAAAATACTTCTTCCGTAAGACAATCAATGCCTCTTTAAAACTGTTATTCACGCAGGCATTCACATGTGTCGGTGTCGGGATTTCACATTAACAACTCAAATGTGTCGGTGAACACTTTCATGTCTATTTATTCTTTCTAGTTTTCTTTTTCCTTGCACAGTTTTAACTGGTTCATTGTCAGTGTAGTGTCCGTACATAATTCCACTTATTTCTTTCTTCCCTAAACATGAAAAACGACCCAAAGGTATGAGAATCAACCATCTCTACACATCAGTCAAAAAAGAGTCTATTTTCTAATTAAGGCAATTAACAAAACATGTGCTCCATTAACCAATACAATGTACAGATCACACATCAGCTTTCACGTGTACACCTCCACAAGAGTAAAAAAAAAGTAGATGGTGTTGAATAGAAAAAAAAAAGAATATCAACTTAATTAACATATTAAAACTAACATAAGAACATCTGATATAAACAATTATCACAATTACAAAAGAAGAGAGGGAAACAATTCAAAGTCACTTTTAAAAACTAAACACTGCACTTAGTGTACTTCACAACATGAAATGACTTGATCTGATTTTCTTCTTTGGATGACAGAGCAACATTTAATTTGTGGCAATAAAAAGAACAAAACCCCAAAGAAAATGTGTTTTCGTAGCCATCACAGTGGAGTAAGAGTCTCTTGATAAAAATAAAAAGATATGATGCTCTTACAGTAGGAGTGTGCCTGGAGTGTGTGAAGGTAGAGAAGCGGGATGATGATGAAAAAACGTGTGTTTAAGCATGTATTGAGGAGTGGTAAGGTGCCAACCTTTCTTTATTGCACTTTTGAATGACCCGCGGACAGAAACGTTTGAGGTCAAATGACTCTAAATACGTCATGTTATATTTGGCACAACATTATTGATTGATAGAAAACCAAATATGAAAGACAAAGTGTTGATCAGTAAATCCACTACACATGGTGTATGTCTGCGTGTGTGTATGCGCACACCCACGTATGCGTCTGCAAATGTCTGTTTATTCGGGGCAGGTGGGAGATAAAGACGTTAGCAGTCCGCTGATTTGTGGTTGTCTCCGTCCTCCTTGGACAGAGGAGACCTGGCTTCCTTCATTTCCTCTCCTTCCTCTCCGCTCCCAATGCTTTTACCCATGGCAGGGTAAACAACTACGCAGAACTTCTGGCCCAAGTACGTCATCTTATCTGGAAAAAGACAGTGACAAAGAGATGTAGTAAGTAAGTGGGTAAGTAAAACTTTATTTATATAGCACCCTTCTCAACACGAAGTGCTTTACAGTATACAGTACACAATACACAATTCATAGTACAAGCATAAAATGTAGAATAAAAGGCATAAAACACAGCAGGTAAAACACAAGATAAAACACCAATGAAAAACAGCTACAAACGCACCTCCTCCGGCGCCCCAAAGGCCTGTCGGAAAAGGAGAGTCTTTAGCTGCTCCTTAAAAATCTCTACTGAGACAGAGGCTCTTAGTATCTGGAGGAGTTTATTCTAAAACCTTGGGGCCACCGCCTCAAAGGCACGGTCCCCCTTAGTTTTTAGGACAGGTGCAGTAATGTATGAAGAAAAGTTCTAGATAATATTATAAAAAAATACAATATTTCTGCCAATTCAGTATGAGAGAACTAGGAGGCAATTAGCTTAGCTTAGCATAAAGACCAGAAACAGCCAGCCTGGCTAGTTTAAAAATATGCTTAGTAACAAGAATTGCTTCACCAAATAACTGGCTCCTTAACCCAAATGTGTCGTTAGAGTACTGGTATGGGCATTAGAGGTGGTTGCTGGCATATATGTTTGAATTATGGACACAGCCATGCTAGCTGTTTCCCCAAGCCTCCAGTCCTTATGCTAATCTAAGTCTCTCAAATGTTCCAAAATGTTGACCAATTCTGTAGTCTTGCCCAATTAGTTATAATGAATTTTTGTCTTGAATAATAAAACACATTTCACCATGAATGGTAAAAAAACAACCAGCCTGTGATAAGCTAACTCACCAACAAAGTTGTTAAAGCACTGTGGCTTTTTGTCCCAGTAGATTCCCAGGAAATAGACGGGGACGCCAGTCAGCATGATGGCCAGGCCGATGCCACACACGACGGGTTCGGAATAAAGAGAGAAGATGAGCAAGAAGGCCCAGAAGATGAGGTAAATAACCGGCCAGATTAGGCTGATCTGGAAGAGAGAACAAAGAAATAACGCGTTACACTTAGGCAGAGACCATCATTTTATTATTTCTGTCATTTGTATAGTTTACAGACAAAGCTTAAATGTGGCAAAACCATAACATTCACACACCTTGATTGGTCGGTGCAGGTCGGGTTGAGTATATCGCAGGACGATCTGCCCGGCAACAGTGACTCCGTAGAAGAGGTAGTTGATGAAGCCCACATAATTGATGAGGGTGTACATGTCACTGGTGCACAGCATAAGCAGGGTGGACAAGCACTGAGGAAGAAGAAGGAGAAGGAGAGGAGGGTCAGAAAACAGGATGTATGCGGGTTGTATGCAGCTTCAGTGTTTATGTGAAGAAGATAACATACAAAGCAGTGTGTTGTTGAGGAAGGTACTCACAGTGAAGAGCAAAGCAGGGATGGGAGTGCAGCGTTTCACATGAATCATGGCCAGCAGCCTGGGGAGCTGGCCCTCTCTGGCTCCAGCGAAGAACAATCTGTGAGAAGAAAATTCCTTTCATTCATGAACAGTATTTAAGTCTGACACTACATGTTACATAATGAAAATAAAGACTAGAAAGTGTAAAGGAGGGATAAAACATAAGGAAGCCTAGGGAGTTCAATTCGGAGCCTACAGTATAACTTCTTCTTTATCTTAAAGTTGTTCTTGTGGAGTAGCTGACATAGTATGACCAATACATTGAAAGTTGTAATGGGACTAACTCACCTTGAAGAGGTGAAGAGGGAACCGTTGACTCCTCCAAAGGTGGAGAGAGCCACAGAGATGGGCATGATCCACGACATGACTCCCAGCAGCTTCTCACCGAACGTCTAGGATGGAGGGTGGATGAAAGGAAGAAGACACAAAGACGATGGTTAGACTCCTATTTCCTCACTATAAACCAATGAATGAGTATCAACCAACACATGTATCTCACTAGAGGGCGTCATTCTCCTCCATAGGTGTTTGAAGGAAGTTACAGGAGCACCTTTACTACATCATGCTTCGAGATACTCACCACTGCGACAGCGTTTGAGGCGAGCAGCTCCGCGGGGCTCATGGCCGTGACGTAGGCGATGTTGGCGAAGACGTAGACGAAGGTCACAAGGGGGATGGAGATGAAGATGGCACGGGGAAGGTTCCTGGAGACGATAGAAGGGGTCAGGTTTGGAAGACATAATGGGTGGCAAGGTAAAAAGAAGCAGGTACACGGGGGGAGGTACATGCGGGGGATTTGAAGCAGGAAATTAAACATGTTACCTTAGGGCAGGTGTATTAATGGATGCCAAGGTTATTTAAAAAAACATGGGATTGATGAGAAGACAGAAAATGCAGAGGAAATGAAGAAATAAACCATTCAATTGGACTTGAAATGTTTCTAGCAATCGCACTGGGGATGATGTGGAGAATGTATCCCATGCTAAGTTAAATCAATTACAAAGAGCTTAAGGGAAAGGGATTAAACTGGGAAGCTAATTTGGAATGCATCTGCTTAAAAGGTGCGTGGAGCTCTGTGCTGTGGGAAGGTGGTTTTCCTGCCACAGAAATATTCCTAGATATATGAGAAGCGTAATGAAGTGTCTTACACATAGGGGTCCACCAGCTCCTCTGTGACGTAGTTCAGGAAGTTCCACCCTCCGTAGGCGAAGGAACCTTGTAGGAACGCTAACGCTATCAAGCCCACATCATACTCCTGGAACGGCTCGAAGGCATTGGCTGGCTCCAACCAGTAGTACTCTCCTACGGGTGGAGAAGATGAAATGAGTTTGGTGCAGCAGCATTTTCAAATAGCAGAGTCTGTTAAGTCCTTAAGTCTGTTTCTATGAGCCTATCAAACCCAAGGAGGTCTGTTTCTTTGCTTTTAGGGTAAATAAATCCACTTAATTTCTATGCTTGCTGTGAGGTAACCCAGCTGAAAACCATCACCTAATTCCATCAGTGTGTGTAAAACAAGTTGCAAAACACATTGTGCTCATTCCCTGTGAAGTGGCTTTCTCACTCCTTTCTCCTTTGTCATTACATTTTTCCCTGAAATCCCTTCTTAAAGCATGTTTTCATAGAGCGTTAAAGTATGTCTACGCTCACATACCGTCCCTCGTGTACTCTGTTCTTTTAACTTCAAACACTCGCACGGAAACCCCTGTTCTGTGGTTTCATGGGGCCTACTTTCTGTGGCCCCTGTAATAACTGTCCCTCAGCATTGTTGTGACAGCAAACCCACACAGGCGAGCGGATATAAGCAATGTTAGTATAAACCTAAAGGGGCCACAGAAACTCCCTGAACTCTGCAGATCCACGGGGAGTCTATATACTGTCCCATGCAGTGACTGAAGAGGCCCTCGCTGACTGCAAGTGTGACTTTTACAGGACAGACAAATGATAGAAATGACTTACCCTTGCAGATCTGCACGAAGCCCATGATGATGATGAGGGCGAGGGCCAGCAGCTTGCCGGCGGTGAAGATGTCCTGAACTCTGGTGGCCCACCTCACACTGGAGCAGTTCACCCAGGTCAGCAGCACTGCAGAAAACACAGTCAAGTTAGGGATTATTTCACCCCTTAAAATCCAGTTCTCCTGTTATTTTCCTCTTAAATTAGCTTTAAAGTTGGCATAATCCCCAAATGTCATGCTGTCTGATATTTATACATTATATTCTGTACATTTACATGCACCGTTTGTTAGATTCAGCATGTTTTGGGAATTATTTTATATACATTTCCACTCAAATTTGGTGCCTATTTGGCTGACTCATATTGATGAGTCGGCGCTGACAAAAGGTTGGGAAATGATTATGTTATGAAGTTAAGTGATAGATAAAGGTTTATGTGTATTTTTTATTGATCTCGTAAAGGAACTTCATTGTTGTATTAGTAATTCTCTTTCCCAAGGGAATAAAACGCTTTTTTGTCCCTTATAAACCCGCAAGACAGTTAAAGTCAAGTCAATAACCGTGCGGTTTTCTTGAGAGAAAGTGAGCTGATAACAGGACAGGGCGTGTGTAAAGATCAAAAGCTGCACATGTGGCACGTGTCTTAACATTGAACTGCAACGACCTTTGACCCTGCATCATGGCATTGAACTTCACCCGTTAGCTCTTATAGTACACCTAATGTCTTACCTGCACTAGCTTTCTCTCTTTTGAAGTACAGCAGGTATTTGACATTCAGATACAAGTTTTTTTCCACCTCTATAATAATAATGTATCTTATAATGATACATTAATACGTTTTTATGATTGTTTAGTCCTTCATGTTTATTCTTTTTAATGTTTTATGGCAAACTCCACTCCTTTAGCATTAAAAAAGCAAAAAAAAAAGCACCAAACATATTTGGAAAAGCCATTAAACTCACTTCAAATGACAGACAAAGACATTGGATTGAACATGTACTGCTGGGTACAAGAGGCCAGTGGGTTCAGGCCAATAGGGTGCCATTAAATAATAGGCCTGTTTGACTCTTAGGGATTAAGTTGATCAAATGAAATGAGTCTGAGCAGAGCAGACGGTCAGACATGCATGGGTCTGTATGAAGTTGGAGAGACGTATTCTTGTGGTTTGTGGTTAGTTACTGGGGCTTTTGGAGAGGGTGAAGGGGAAAGTTGTAAATTCAACATCCTGCAGCGTTACTACAAATGAGCCGCAGAGCGTGCTGCTTTTACAACCCCCCCAAAAAAAAGGAAATTAGACATTTTGAACACACCGGCTTATGATTTGTCTTACCTATACACACAGACATAGTAAACAAAATACAACTGATCCATCCCTGAAAACTCACAGAGTGATTTTAGGAACCATGTGTCCCCTACTAATTCTTTCCGCCTACTGACAGGCTGCGAGTAAACACCTGAGGACACATTCAGCGAGACGAGGGGGGGGGGGGGGGGTCGCTCAGCTGTTCGTAAGCTGTGTATACAAAATGTGTGTATGGAAACTTGCTGAGTTAACCACGAGCTTGCTGGAAAACATGACAGTTATGACCTCGCACTCTGCAGACGGACCCCAGGGAGAATCCCCCCCGCCTGTTTTTGAAATGTTACACCTTTCACATTGAAGCGGCTGCCATGACCAGCGGCATCTGGTTCGGTCCCTAAATCTGGACTGGATTGGTGCGTAAATATGTAAGGTTATATCCTGCACTCTATTATATATAAATCTGCCAGGGGTCGGATTGAGGAAATCGTAGAAATGTCAAGCAACAACAACAACAACAACAACAACAACAACAACAACAACAACAACAACAACAACAACAATGAGATCAGAGTTGAGGAAAACGGCTAACCTCTAACCCACTTTTACTCCTGAACAACGACAACATCAAAACAGGGTGAAAACATATATTTACTGAAAACTGCCTGACGACACCTGTCAAATGGACTTCTTTCTACCAGCTGAAAACAAACCAGAGTCATAACTGCTAGCGGTTCATGTCAGAACTAAGTTTGTTTTGCTTCAGTCGATTATGTAACTGGGACAAACAAAGACAGGTAAAAAGAGGTCAACAGTTCTAAACCTAACAAAGAAAGCCTTCAGATGGATTTAAAACGTGTTATTACCATCGTTAGAATGTTTGTCTGTAGGTAAGCCGCAATTCTCAGAAGCATGCCAGAAGGTTTTAATGAAACTGGAAGAAAGTCAGGTGCAAATGCATGTGCAAAATAACAGGTCACATCAATCTATCCTGCTAAAGAGCGACAATATTTATGAATGACAGATTTTCTGTACAAAACTCTAATATCTTCCTGCTATTTTCATTTGAACTTGACCAAATTTGCTACATTTGCACTCAACATGACGCATGAAATCTATTGCAATGTTTTTGAGGTACCCTTCTGACCGACTAACACCATTCTTTCTCTGGCGTAGATCATTAAGTAGTGGATCTCTTGGCTCGCTGCGTACAAATGTGTGTGTTGTTGTGCATGCCTTTGGAAAGTGAGATTTCCACTTATTCGAGCCAAACAGGGCGGCCAACTGAGCCCATCTGCCAGTGAACAGCATGTCACAAGGCAGCCTTTCCAACGTCGTGGTACAAAAAAACCTTTGGGGATCAGTATGAGGGAGAAAAAACACGTCTTTTTACGGAAGATCTCTGACCCCGACCACCTGCTTGCAACGGCGCGTTTCTATTTTAACTCAGCCATATTTTGTGGGAAAAATGTACAAAAATAAAACAAAGGACCTGTTTGTTTTCCCTCTGCAAATACGGGTCATTATTCCCTCTCTAAATGTAGTATATTTATTCGACAGGTGAGAAGAGAACAGTGGTGTTTTGTAATCCTCCGCAAAGTTCACAGCAATGCACAAACACACACTTACAATACACACACTCTTCTCCAGAGTCCAGAGCTGTCTGTCTCTTTATCTGAAGGCTGCCTGCAGTATGTGGCCAGTGTGTGTGAACCGAGGGATTTGAATGGACCAGTGTGATGTCAGCAGCAACACGTTTACCCATTATCGCTACAGATTCACTGCTCAGTGCTAACACGTCTCAGCGGCTATGCTATCCTGTATTAGAATGACATGAGCTTCAGGGAATACACTGGGACATAAGCAGGAACATTCAGCCATCTGCTGCTTTGAATAACTTGCAAACAGCTTTGAGGATGAAATGGAATCCTACAAGCATGAGCTACTATTACATTCGTTCAGCAACCTGTTTCAAAGCGTTTACCTGTCTTGTAACTGTGTCAGAAAACTAAAGTGCAATCTTGGATCCCTTGGCAGATTTTTCTTGGCCTGTCTCGACATGCACACTCAAAACAGAACTTTGTGTCTTTTTTTCTATTTCTTGAGACTACTTGCACTCTTATATAATCAAAACCGAATCTACTGTATGTTGAGCCAATAGCTGCTTCGGCATTATATTTTAAAAAGGGAAATAATTCAATTTGTAATATTTTTCTTATATTTGAGAGTCAAAGTGTATCTCTTAGAAATTAGGTTCATAAGACACCAATATATTTAACTTACCCATAACAAATGTAATAATGCTGTTGTAGTTATTAGCAGGTATTTTGGCAGAAAACAAAGGAAAGTTTGTCAGTGACAAATATATATATATTCTGCTACACAAACACTGTTACTATTTCGAAACGTATTTTTACATGAAATACTGTATTGTTTTCCCTCTTGGAAACAAGTTGAAACCATTTCAATGAAACAATCCAAAGAACATCCCGCCCTTGTTGGTTGAAATGTTTGCAACACATGGATATTTTGTCGCTGTCCTGTTAAATGTTCTGATCTTATTCTCCATGAGAAAGCAAACTATTCCTTTCATGCTCTCATGAATCCACCAGAGATAGATATGATAGAGTTGACATACAGGAAAACAAGAAATACAGCAAATGATTCGGACGTTACATTTTGGTATAACATTGCTCTAAATATTCCTATTATGATAATGACTCATGCCTGACACCCACAACTGCTCACACTTGTACCGTTTATGACAGAGCCTGAATTGTTATGTTCTTATCTAGCATAGTTGGGCATCAACATCTGCACGTGTGTTTGTATGACTCACAGAGGCAGACGGCAGCCAGCAAACGCAGGCCGCTCTCCGGAGGGAAGCAGGTGGGGAAGAGAGGCTGCAGGACGTAGTTGGAGAACGTCAGCGCGATCACGGCCTGATTGGTCGGGTAGATCACCAGCACGGCGATCCAGAGGCGCAGGAACCTGAGAGAAAAAGGAGTTACAAAAGGTTACAAACACAGAAGCATGGGAGGAACAGCAGGGGGGGTAAAGAGGAGAAAACACATCACAAAGGCACATGGCACGTATACATCCTTCCATTTACTGACTCTCATTCAAAGCACTTTGTTTTGGGTCGACTTTATTTGCTTGACCTCTCATAGTATTAGCTAGACACACTGTTGTATGGCTTTGAGTTAACGCTTTTGATCTTTTCAATTTGTATGTTTTAGGACAGGATCAAAAATATGGAGAGATAAAGCACCGAGACAATGATTTATGGATCTACAGCTGACAAATCACTTACCATTTTTTGTAATCAATCGATCATTTTAGTCAGTTATAACGCATAAAACCGGTTCCAGATGGTGTTTATTACTTTTTTTGTCATTTAAAATTAAATATCTTTAGGTTTTTCAGAGAATTAAGTTATTTCAAATGTCACCTTGGACTATTGGAAATCATGAGGCGTATTTTTTCCCATTTGTCAACAGATTTAGACAAAAAGATATGGAATTCTCATGACAAATCAAAGGGGAAAACCCATGCTCTTAATGTGATTCTGATATGGAAACTTAATGGCTCATACCATACTAAGTGATCAGGTCTGTGCATTCATTCCCAGTAATAAGCACATGTGATTTCCCCTAATTAAGTTTAATGTCAATAATGTCATTTCGTTTAGACCTACAGCAGTTAACACCTCTGAGAAAATGTCAGCTGGGTGCCTAGTTAAAGTGAAGTGATGACTGATATTAGTCAGTGTGTGTTCGCTGTGTTAGAAACGGACAGGATGAGTCACAAACTGATGCAAGCCGTGTCAATAGTGACACAGATTGGCCGCTGGAGCGTGGTGGGGAGGTGAGATGAGATGTGAGATCATGAGGGTTTAGCAGGAGAAACCAGACGAGTGGTTTTTCCACCAAATTCCCTGAAAGCTTATAGAGGGATCATTACACCTGACTGAGTTAACAGGCTTATGTGTCACTGGAATGCGTGTGTGTTTAATGTAAAATGTTTTATATTTAACGCAGGTGGACGCCTTGTTTTAGGCAAAAGCGGGAAAAAGTAACATTAAACATACTTTCTTTTACTTGAACCTACATTTTTTGCCTATTTTAGTACACTTCCCAGGGGAGTTATTGTACTTTTTCTTCACTACATAAATGTATTATACTATGTTATTATAAACCACTTAATCAACCATGACTAAACTTTTTCTAAATTATATAATAGTCCTTCAGATTTGGAACAAATAGAGGATTTAGAGGCATGAGCCACATTGATTTATCTTTATATATCCCTTTATCAGAAACCCGGTCTAACCCTAACCCAATGAGTCCCTTCCATCTGTATATTAGTCTATACGGCATATAATGTCCGACACAACAAAGGGCTTTGTACATGAAACGTTGTCCATTCAAGTCATGTTTGAGTTTACAACTTTACGAGCTCTTTCTTGAAAATCGCCATCGCCCAGCAGCGACAAAGTGACGTAGCTATTTCCTTTACCGTTACTGACCTATACAGCGCACATACCTACTTCCCCCCAGGCCCACATTGAACACATAGGGATGAAAGGAGAATGACAACAGAAAACAAACACCACTTGAACACGGTTTATTTATCCTAGCCGGCGTGTATTGATAGCTACTGTACAAAGGGACCAAAACAATGATTGGCTGTTTCGTCTGGTTGAATTCCTCTCCCAAAATACCCCGATAATATGTACCCTTGTGATAGTTGAAAAAAACTAAACAATGGTCTAATCTGTGTTTACAGTCTGGGCAAAGGCACAGTGTGAAATCTACGCAAACAAACAGTATTGTTTTTCTTGGCGATCAACCTAGCATGGTTCCTAAGAGTTAACTATAAGTTAAGTATTTATGGACCAATGGAAGAGATGTATGGGAAAACCAGTTGATATAAATACCCAGCGGACATAAGTAACTGTCTGAGTAATTTTGGCTGTCTGAGCATCTACTGTTCAAACATCCGAGTCAGTATTTGCTCCAGGTTTAAAAAGCAATAAGACCCCCCTCTTTGGATCAAGATGTCTGACCTGAATGAGCGGGCTTATCCACCAGGATAAGGAGAAGAATCTAGACATGTTGGTATGCTCACCTAAATCCATGTCAAATTAACTTTAAGAGAGGCTGCTTCTTTTATAAAAGTGGCTTAAATTCTTATTAGACAGTGGTTTTGACCCGGGGGTTTATCAAACCTCCGTGAATCAGACAAAAGGTTTTTCCTTAAAAATAAGAAGTTTGACCACAAAAACTTCCATCATTTCTAAAAATGATGCCTGAAATGAACAGTTAATTATTATGAAAACAGCGTCTGTGTATTGCTAATGGCACGTGGTGTTCAGGTGGAGACAAACCACCAGATTGAAATCTCTAAATGTTAAATAAAAAACACCCACAAACTGTTTCCTGTATATCTAACCTATTATCACAACTCTGCTTACTACTGTTAGATGTCAGCTGCTTCGATGTATCCTCTTCCTGACTCATATCCCACCTTCAAATGCCATAGGAAAACACACACTCTTTCTAAGTAAGTCCATGACTGAATGTCTCACCCTGCCAGCCCTCCGAAGATGTCCTTGACGTAGGAGTAGTCTCCTCCAGATTTGGGGATGGTGACGCCCAGCTCGGCGTAGCACAGCGCCCCGATGGCCGTGATGACCCCCGTGACGATCCAGACGATGAGGGCCATGCCCACCGAGCTGGCGTTCTCCATCACTCCCTTCGGACTGACGAAGATACCTGAGCCGATAATGTTACCTGGTGGAAGGGAGAGAGGAGGGGTGTCAGGTTACAGCGGAGCGGATTATAAAACAGGTTATTGTCAGAAGGGTTCTGAGAAGCTGTAGTGTTTAAAGCAGGTTATTTGTCATGTCATTGCTTCACAGCCTGGATTACAAACTAGAGTGGGGTTTGAAAAATGATGGCATTCATGAGGCAGGGAGTTAAAAACATGCTATGCAGTAGCATTATGGGAAGTGTAGGATGTAGTATTTTGGTGCTTCACCCACTTTGGTGAATACAAATTAAAACATTTCCGCATCTTCTTTGCTAAAGTTGACCATCATTAAAGAAACGTGTCTCTTGCAAGACTCACTACTGTAGATTTCAATGAGATCTGCTCTCATGTCTAGGTATTGAGTAAGAACACGGAGGAAATGAGCCTAGCTTAGCATACAACTAGAAACTGGAAGAAACAGCTGGCATAACTCGAAGAAAATTGAGCCCTTTAATGTTTTTTATGACCTCAGCAGACAGATGGCATCAAACCTGGCAACCTGCCTGAGACGACACACTTCCATGGAAATCACTCTGACTGACTGTTAACCACAATTAAATAGTTACTGCATAAAACCACAAACTAGTTTTTTAATATACCAAATAAAAAACAGTTACAACATGTTAATCAATTGTTTGAAACGTGATAAAGCAGCTGAGCTATCAGGCAAACTTGTAATCTGCTGATTTAGCACAGAGTTATTTGTAGATTGAGCAAGACAGAGAGTGGGGTGAAAGAGTGCAAGGAGGAAGGAGGGGTGTCTGCCCTGACAGATCCAATGAGCATCAGAGCGCCAGGCATTTTACACCAGAGCTGAGAGATGGAGGGACAGAGTTTGGGTTCTGGGCCAACATGAAAAATATCGCCATGCACTCCCAAATGTTCGATTAGGCTACAACGAAGACGAAGTTAGCGAGCCTCTAATCACTGGGTTGATGGCGCTATAAACCAACAGCTAATAAAAAAAAGCGTCAGGGTTAAAGGTGGAAGGTTTTGAATCATAACCGGATGATAGGATAAGTGGCCTTTTACAGTACAGTACAAAAGTCAAAGATATGAATGACATTAAGCCTGCAGAGTAAAAAAAAGTGCAGAGATTGCATTATATCTTACTACAACTTCCAATAAACTAGAATATATAACTTGCAGCTATGCAGGCAGGTGTGACGACATAAAAGTGGTGATTAACATGTTTTAATATGACATTTTTATACTAATGATTGCTTCTCAATTGGATGATTTGCTGCCGTTATTATACTCTTGAAATTCTCTATTCTCTAGAGAAATCTTTGGGGTTTGAGCTATTAGACATGCACATCTGGATTCCACTGCATCTCCAGGTTTCTAAAATCATTAAGGCATTCAATCTAAAGATTAGGTCAGATTAAAAAAAATCCTTGCAGACAAACACATTGAAATGGAATAGCAGCATCAATCCCCCAAGGGAGAAGACTTCACTCTGCTTTCTCAGATCGGTTCAATCTAAAGAAGAATGTGCACATATCTCCGAAGCATGACGGCATGCTATAGGTTTAAAGAATCCATATGCATCAGTGTCTGGCTCACTTATGTAACTCCAGCTGCAGGTAATAGGTAAAAGAGACGGCCAGCAAAGCATCACACACTCCTGATGTCGACATGTTAATGGCTGCTGTGGTCTTCAGTGCATGACCTTTGACCTGAAACAAAGCAGCTATGCATTGACTCAGCACTTTCCTCAGTGGCAAACTCCCTGCTGCTAGACTTCTGCAACATAACGTTTGCAGAGGCAGATAAAGGTCAATCGCTGCCTCTGGTTGAAATTAGTCAATATTTGGACTTTTATGTAAAAGGATTTGCTTTTTATACGAGCAAGCAAATGTGCACGCTTGCATTGTGTGTTCTTGTCATGTGCATCATTAGGCGTGAGAGACATGCTGACTGTGTGGAATCTCTCCAGGTTTCCTGTTCTTGTGCTCGTTTTGACATCCAAGTAGACAGGGAACCGAAAAACTCTTTTTGACTTGAATTCAGGCCTTGTTTGTATCTGTTTAAGAAGCAGAGAATAAAAACTCTAAAAGTTCAAATCTCTCATGGCAGCGTGCATCACAGCTACCCTCATGTATCTTATTTCTGGGTCTTTTTACAAATGTATGCAGCCTCTTTTAGCACGGGATATTTTGATATCCTCCATTGTTATCGGATCGTTTTTTCACAAAGGAAGGGGCCTGGTCTGAGACGTGCTCTGTGAGCACATTTCTGTTCTTCTCTGACTTTGTTTCATGCCTCCTGATGGAAACAGGCTAAGGCTCCTCTTCAGACTTCACACAATGTATACTTCAAAGTCTCATACAGCTCTTGGGCTATCTCAGATCCTATCCATAATCTCGTATATTGCATATTTGCTCTTTTTCGTTACTACCTGGTCAATTTAAAGGCATTTACATTATCATTTAATCTGCCAATCACACTCACAATTCAGTCTAGAAATGTAAGGATGTAGCAAAAATGGAGGCACACTATAGGATATACATTTTGCATCATCTTTCAGCCGCTCATACCCGTGTCACCACGTAACGCTAACCCTTTCAACAAGCATGAGAGTGTTTGTGCTGCATTAGGATAAAACCCTGATCAGACTTTAGAAAGCTCTCTATGATTAGTTCTTGCATTTCCACCCGCCGTTAAATCCTTGTTCAAAGAGCCACCAAGCTAGTGCAACCTGCTGCTTGGCCTTCAGCCACACACTCACAGACCCCGCAGGAACCTTGTACATGTGTGTGTGTGTGTGTGTGTGTGTGTGTGTGTGTGTGTGTGTGTGTGTGTGTGTGTGTGTGTGTGTGTGTGTGTGTGTGTGTGTGTGTGTGTGTGTGTGTGTGTGTGTGTGTGTGTGTGTGTGTGTGTGTGTGTGTGTGTGTGTGTGTGTGTGTGTGTGTGTGTGTGTGTGTGTGTGTCATTACACTAAAGTAATCTACAACAAGGAAACCATTTACGAGAAAGAGGAGTGGCATTAAGATTTCTGATTGCGGATGTAAAACATAAAAGCTACTCGTATGGAATAAAGCTCAATGATTAATAAAAGTGAATTTGTGGAGTAATGTAATGAGAGGGCATGGACTGGAGCTCAGACACGGCTAAGCCAGGCGAGCTAATAAAACAGCATTATCAGGGTGGGGCATTTTTGTCTCCAAGTGGCCAAAAGTTCACTTCTAATCCGAATTCCCCGCCTTGCACGTGCTGGATTTATGTGTGCGAGTGATAAGTGCCTGTACTGTACAATAGGCCATAAAAACCGTTTGATGTTCTCGTGTGCTTGGCCCTTTTCATGGAAACCCAGCGGGGCACAATGTGAGCTGGGGGGGCATGAATGAGTGACTCACTCAAGGACGAAAAATCTGGTGACTACACCTAGATGAACAGGATGGACTCTGCTCGGCTGTAAAGAAAGGCTCTAAGGTGGCACGAGTCGCTGCCAACCTGTTTCTTAATCGGCGGCTGATGACTGGAGAGCCATAGTCAAATGCTTTATCAATTATATTATCTACGTGTTGTTGCAAAGATACGATCAAGTGTCGGGCAACAAAGAGGAATGTTGGCGGAATCACATTCTCATATATTCTTGCAACTATCTCAGATCCTAGAAAGGTGTGAAAGTGTAAATGTAGTTGGTAAAGCTTAACGTAAACTGAGCTACTTAAAGCAGAGTTGAAATGAGGCCTCAAGTGTAAAACCTCAAGGATGTAGGCAGTAAGTTACCAAGTACAAAGCCTTCTGCCAAGGTTGCTCTTCATCTCTCCCGCATCCTCCCTTTTCCCCAGCTCCTGTCTTGTCTTTCTCTCGGGACTTCCCATGTGTAGACACTCTCACTCTGCCTTCTTTCATCCCGTTACCCTGGAAACGCACGATCGCATGAGTCATCCCCACCCTTTTCTTCACGCTGCCAAGGTCATCTGAAGACCACACACCTACTGTAGACAACCTGGGCCATATATCCCCCTGCATGCGCCTGTATCGACCTATCTGTCTCCTGATGTTGTTATTTCTGCTTGTTTGTCGTCTGTATTGAATTCTCCTCTGTTCAGCCCTGCTACTGCATGTGTGTCCTTTACCCCCAAGATCTCATTGGATAAGATGTTGGATTATTGATCAAGTGGTGTTGTTTTGGAGGATTTGATCAAACAAAGATGTTTTTCTTAAATCTGTAGTAAACAAATATTGTCCTTCTGCAATTTAGGCATTGCACAAGTCCGTATTGTGAAACAAAATCGGTGTAATTCCTTCAGCTCCGGTACAAAGTCGAACTGAAACAATTAATGTATCAATAGGGTAACCGATTTAGTGCTTGTGATTAAGAAATCGTAATTCCACAAAACTGAGAGGCTTGCAAGAGACTGAAAAACCATGGCTACTACATTTCCCACAATGCAAATCAATTGTACTCTAATGATACCACCAGGGCTAATTTCTCAGATTTCAAAGAACCCCCCACCCCCCAGAGCTACATAAGAAATAAAACAACTTAGTACCACCTATGACATGAGCTTCATTTATAACATTAGTTGGAATGTCTCTTTAAGATTTGTATCTCTGGTGCTACAAGCCAATGTATGACTGTCCACTGTTTCCAGCATCACACTGTGTCCAGATCAATCATGTGAGCCTACAAATTGCTCTGAATGTTCCTAATCTCCAGCATCAGAGCTGAGTGAGGGTGACGACATCACCATCCCTGGCCAGGCTAAGAAATGATCACATCTGATGATGATGACTGATTAAACACTGAAGGGGGGGGGGGGGGGCTGAATCTTTGAAGCGTTGCACAGAAAGAAAAGTGTGTCCTTTAGGGTTGTTTGTGCATCCAATTTGGGAGATCATATCTCAATGTGTGCAGGAGTATACCACAAGCTACACTATAACCAACTGTGTAAACGTTGCACAACTGCAGGTAATATCACTTTCTCGTTGTCAGGATATAACATCCTTATCTAGACACACCCACAGGTTCATCATAAACTAGGTAATGGTGGAATCTGATCCCAGGGCAGCTTTTACACCCCTGATCCCACTCCTCCATATTTGCATTTTCTCCATCTGTCTCTTTACATCCCTCACCATCAAATATACTTTTTATACTTTCCAAGACGCACACATGAACTGCAAAGGCAATATGGGAGGGGAAATTGAAGCTTGGGCTGAGTTAGACAACTGTTAGCACCATATGACAGAATTGGAGGACTGAGCACTTACCAACGATGATTCCGCAGGCACTCACAAGCCCGATTTCCTTCTTGAGCGCCACTCCACCTCCCGACTCCTCAGCGGCAGCATCCTTTGCAGAGCCCGACGTGCTGCTCCTCTGTCTGGCACCGTCCGTCATTTTGATGGTTGGAGGTTTATTATTTGGGTTATGTTTTAATCTTCTTATGCAGCACACACCACGTTAAGCTTGTCTCGCCTGGAGCTCAAGCGTATCGTGTGTGCGTAAAACCACGTAGGACGTGCCGCACTTATCTAATGAGGAAAGTTATTGCGCTGTCAGCAACTTGTGACAAAAAGGTGTGCAAATCTAGAAACAAAGTGTAATAAATGTAGTAAATATAGTTTCCTGCCTGCCGGTGTCATAGGTTGCACTTTAGCCCCCAAACTAAATATTCCGATTATTGAGCCAAAAGCACATATCCAATGACATCCCTTAAAAGTCATACAAGGAAATAACTCCTTTGTTTCTGAAACAGCAGGAGCAACAATAAAAAATATGTCAATAAAAAAAAACTCTCAGTGCTTCCTCGTTCCAGGTGTGAGCTGAAAAGACATTGCTTTACAAAAGCGGTCTCATACACATCCGACCTGTGTTTGGTTAGGACGGGAGAGGTTGTATTCGAGTACATATACATGGGGTCCTTCATATAGTACAGTAGCGCCGCCTTCTTTCACAGCCACACCCCCCCACCCCGTCACCTACTCCAAACGGAGGGCTTGTTTTTCGTCTTTCTGCCTCTCGACCAAGAACATAACACCTCCCATCTCCGTCCCCAAACATCAGCTGTTCCTCCCGCTGCTGCCGCTCCACTGTACATCTTCCACTGACAGAAATGCCCAAGCATGGCAGCCTATGTTGCATCTGCCTTTCTCTCTCTTTCTTGTTCTCGCAACCACACAGGCACAGAGGTTTTCTCATTCATTCACACTTAATATTCAAGATGCAGCAGAGGCCAGTCTATTTTTAGCCCAGCAAGTCACTTGTATGATGAGAGACTGAGGCGTTTCCATCCATAGGTACTAACACTATTACCCCAACCCATTATGATAGTAGGCCTATAGTTGTTTTTTATATGCCTATGGTATGAGAAAGTACTTCTACTATCTTGAGTCACTACTTAATTGCACTTAAATATATTCAAGTACAACATGTTGAGCTAAACAGTTATTAATCAGTATAGTTATCTAAAAGGGGATTAAGGTGTACGTAGAGTAAAAATGTACATTATTAAAGTACATACACACACACACACACACACACACACACACACACACACACACCACACACACACACACACACACACACACACACACACACACACACACACACCATGCATACATCACTTCAGGGGACATTACATTGACTTACATGCATTTCCTGGAGACTTATCCTAACCTTAACCATAACCAACACATGCCTAACCCTAACCCTTACCCTTAACCTTACCCTAATCCTAACCAAGTCTTCACCCTAAAATTAATGATTCCCCTCATGGGGACCTCCAATTTGTCCCCATAAGGGACGGTGTAAACAGATTTAGGTCCCCACAAGTATAGTAATGCTAGGCCACACACACACACACACACACACACACACACACACACACACACACACACACACACACACACACACACACACACACACACGTGCGCACACACACACACACACATACATAACACACACACACACACACACACACATACACACACACACACACACACACACACACACACACACTGAAAGGCAGCTTTCATGCTTGTGCCACTAAATCTGAACAACATTGGAAAGGTTTGGTTATCACTAAGTGTACCTGGTCAGTGAGGCAGGAAGGTGTACACACTGCTCACTCACAGTACACATGCTTGACCATTAGGAAACAGGTCAGCGGGCCAGTTTGTTGACATTTTGCTGGTGTGCAGCACCTACAAGAATTTTTATTTTGAAGTCGGTCAGCAAATGCAGCCTGGTTTAGGTGTATTGGTGTGGTGGAAATGAGGGTAAAAGCTTCCTTATGTTGTGAGGTGGTCACTCTAACTGCATGGCAATATTAAACCAGAGAAATACTGAAATGTGAATGTGAAATACTTTAGTTTGGCTCTTTTAGGCTACTTAAGATGTTTGAATGAAACAATTCAATGGGGGAACAATGGGGGGAAAAGCTAAAATTATAGAATTTCCTTGATCAGGGCTACATTAAAGTCAAAGAACCAACATTGTAATTCATTTCCATCTTTTTAACCATATTAAACCATGAACGTTTGACCTGATTTCAGAAAATGTCCACCATTCTCTGCTGATCAAAACACCTAAAGGAAGGCTTTGTGATCAATCATAATGTCATGATTTGGTTGTGATAGTGTTGATAGTTGATGGAAATGGTTCTGCCTGATCATCTGCCCTATGTACTGATTGCATCCAAACAGTCTTTTGCATTGTTTGCTTGATTAGATTAGACTGCTTCTCAGGGGTGGTTCTAGGGGGGCCAGGGGGGCCAGTGCCCCCCTAACACTGACCTCTGACCCCCCTGCGGCCCCCTAACAATGACAAGTTTTTAAAAAAAATTTTTAAATGTATATTTTCTGGTACTCGGTTTGCCAAAAACTGCAGGATTTTATTGCTGTAATGTGAGATTGTGCAGACACCCTTATGTAAAGTAGAGATGTAACTGTTCATTGCCTTTATTTTTATATAAATATGGTGTTAGTGCAAACATTGCACTATAACTTAAGCTGAAGCTAACAGTAATAACTATAAGATCTATCTGAAATAAATAAGTGTACTGAAACAAATACCAATAACTGTATTGCATTGTTTTCTTATGCGCAATTACTTCATACTGTCTAGTTCTCTTTTTCGTCCTGCATTTATTGTGCCCCCCTCAGAAAATAACTGGCCCCCCAGTGGCCCCCCCAGTCAAATTGGTCTAGAACCACCACTGCTGCTTCTTATTGCATTATTGTCTAATTACAGCAGGAAAAGGGCTTTGATCAAATAAATAGGTAATAGTTTTGGGACAAGGACCATATTACTTTTGTTTGAACAAGAAAAGTTGAGATTAAGGGGAAGGGAATTGTGAAGCTGACCGTTGAGCGGCCCAGACCAAGCAAGGAGGCAGACGCAGAACGTCCAAAAATATAACCCGACGGGGGCATTTATTAAAATCATGTGCCCAAAGTTCACAGCCTCAATCCTGCTGTTCTCCTTGCACACATCCTACCAGCCTCAAGGATCTCACACACCCTACCAGCCTCCCAACAGACAGGGAAACAGAGCCTAAATACACACACTAATCAGCACAACAAGACACAGGTGAGGGGGGGAGGAGACAACACAGGACACCAGGTGCACACAATTACCCGGCCTGAAGCAGTCAGTCCATAGTGACGAAGTTACCAATACATCTCCTCCGGTCAGCTGAAACTTAACAGCAGAAATACCAAGGACATGTCTATGAAGTTTGTAAAAATCAGGGCTTTGGAGGCTAATTTTGCTATGCTATACTATTTAGCTGGAGGAGAGCACTGAGGATTCAGATTCAGGAAGTTATATCTGAGAATCTTTTGTCATATGTCAGATGTTGGAGGAATGGCATGTGGTTTGAACTTTACAAGCATTTTCTGAGTCAGCTGTTACTGGGAGTTTATCAGTGTAAAGCTGACCCTGGGCCTGTACTCTGATAGCGGCACACACTTTTGCACAGCTGTGTGTGGAGGACGTGCATGTGGGACACAAACAAGTCTGTATTCCCACAGTCGTTTCAAATACAATGAAAAATTGTATTAGCCTCAATTATACAAGGTTACAACATTGAAATCACCTTAATTAGAGTTACGATGTTCCTAAAATGCAGGTTTGATAACTGGATTCAACTCTGAACATTACTTCCGGTCATCACCTCTCTCACACATTCCACCTTTCCATCACATGGAGGCTGACGTAATCCTCTGAAAACATACATGACATATGTCCACACACACACACACACACACACACACACACACACACACACACACACACACACACACACACACACACACAGGTGACAGATCGGGTGGTGTAAGGCATGGAGATCCTCCAGATAAGGCTACTGTTAATGAGTAACTCTGCTATTTCAGGTTGTTTGCTGCTCAGCGGCTGGAAAATTGGAACAATAACATGCAAACACGGAGGTAATGGCTCTGGTTCCAGGCAGGGAGATGCAGGGACCAACAGGGACCGGACCATAACACCAACAGGGATGGCTGGTACACCAGAAATTCGTTTAAAGCAGTATCTGTGTTTGATTTGGGGAAAAATACAACTTGCGTTAAGATAATGCATATTCAATGTATCTAACAGAAGACCAAACTTGCCTTGGAAGAGATGACAGAAATAACCACAAAATGTTTTTAAAGCAATTTTGGATTTTGTTACTTTCGGACAGAGCTAGGTGTTTTCCCCCCAGTATGCTAAGCTAAGCTAACCAGCTCCAGGCTGCAGTCGTGTGTTTGACTCATAGGTTTGACTTGACAAACAACTGAGTGTGTGTTATCAATATCCAACCCTCAGCAACAAGGAAAGTAAATGCCTATTTCCCAAAATGTTTAGATTTGCCCTTGATGGTCCATATTTGGAAATGTTCAGGCATAACTTTTGCTCTTTCTGAACCTCCCAGAAACCTGCAGGTCCGCTGCAACTCTTATTACTCATAAATCCAGGCTGAAGACTTATCTTTTTGTCGCTGCTTTTAATTTAAACTGAGCCGTTGCGTTCATCAGTAAAGTGGAACTTCTGTGTGAACTATTCATATCTTAAACTGCACTGTAACTTTTTATTCATGTATTTTTTCTTTTAATGTTTCTTTTATTATCTTTTCTTTTTAATGACTGTTTTGAAATGCCTTTGTCTGAATGTCTTTCATTTTTGTAAAGCACCTTGAATTGCCTTGTGTTGAAAGGTGCTATATAAATAAACATGCCTTGCCTTGCCTTTCATAAATCCAAATTGTGGTTTCTTCATCTTGTAGAAGTTGATGTTCCCATACTCTGCTTTCACCATCAAGATATTTTCTGAATTAGCACATAATACCTTTTTGATTGTTAGGGATTTCTGCACATGCATCATGTGATGAAGACTAAGATTAAGTCATATAACATTTTTCAAGGACCTAAACTGTCCACATCTAACTTTGGTCAGAAGCCAATTAAAAGAGATGAAAGAGGACAGATTTCTGCTAGTTAAAACCAAGAAGGATACACTATTGGATTCTTTCCCATAACAGACCCCCCGTCTGTTATGGGAAAGAATCCAATAGTGTATCCTTCTTGGTGTATCCTTCATTCTGCTCCCCCAGCAGAATGATGCCGACATCCCTCCTGATAAACCCAGAGTAAGAACCTGGAACCGGGCCAGACTCATCTCACTAATGGACTGAGCTGCTCGGCTCTCTGCTTACAGAGATCTCTCACACAGTCAATATGTCGGAACATTACGGTTTCCATTTACGGTAACACGTGTTACAGTAACAACCATCAGGATGGGACTGTAGGTGGTTCTTGTATCAGAAAGTGACAAATCTACAGAATCACGAGCATGTTCTTATTGACAAAAAAAAGCAACAATGTAATTATGACTTCCTGAACAAAGAACGAAAAC